TTCAATTTCGATTTTTTCCAATTCATTTTTCACCGTTAGGTTCACCCGCTCTTATCTATGGAATTTTAGGGTACTATGTGTATAAGATATTTTTCTCCATGATCATGCTTTGAAATTTCCACACCATGCTTGAAGGCACAGATTGCGATAATTATGAGTTACCTGATTATAGAAAAATAGTGGAAATAAGAGTCAACTGATTCTGGCACGGGAGATTTTATTCTGCACTTCCTCATATGTTTTGCTACTCTTCCAGGATAATTTCAGAACAATAGTCTTCACAAGGTGCAGCAGTACATATACTAAGAGAATAGTCCAAAATATAGTAAATTACGCTATGACGATCCACTGATTGTACTGTCAACAAAGCTGCTCCGATGCGAACAATCGTGCATGGCCACTGCTTACAGATCCTGGCCAAAGATGGAAGTGGCATGCAACTAACACAACCGCTAAATCCCTTTATTGCACACCCAAGACGTTTTTCCATTCGGTTTCTCATATGCTTATGTGAGGCCAAAGGCATCCTATGGAATACCTTGGAAATCATTTTTATCTTGAACTGTGCCTTCAAAGAGAAGCTTCTGCACCATTACCGCACTCTTGGATTCCTTGATAGCAATCCTTTTTCCACCTGACTCCAAGCTTTCTCTTCTGTACTATTCGAACAAAACTCTGACCTCCACGAAAAGAATGTGAAACTGGAGTTACGAAAATGGGTGACTGCGCTTTGTGAAAGATCTTCTGAATAGCATGGCGAAGGTCCGCGGAGAGCAATGTTAGAGAAAGCGGAGGTACAGTGACCATAAAATCATTTATCCAGAACACCTGAAAACTCAGAATTATCGGGAAAGGTGGGACTATTCTAATGCTGATAATATTATAACTCCACAGATTGAACCTAGTAGAATTGGTGGGTTGACTATTGGCCCACTATTGAGATTTTTGATAGCAGCTCGCCGTAACAACTTCATTAATCTCGTATAACTCAGTGTTTTACCTCGCAACGATTTCTTCCCTGACGCTCACGTTTATGTGGGAAAAATGGCTGTGGCTTGCAATCGAATGATTCCCCAACGCAAGCACAGTGGAGCACGCCGGTCCGGAGTTACTGCTTGCCATGTCTTCAAACTACCTGCTCCTTGTTTTTTTGACCCTTTTTAATGAACGTTTATTGAGACTGGTGTTATCGTCAGTCAGATTAAAGGCATAGTTCACGATAATTTTGAGGCGCCCTATTCATGTTGAAAAGCGGAAGTGTTGATGTGGAGGAGTACATCGCCGACGAAGAGAGCGAGAATGTCGCCTACTTCAAGGTTTGTAAAAGTAGTGAATTTGAGATTGTGCGAGATCACTGTGACGGGATTAGCATGTAAGCGTATTTGGACGAGTTTTGAAGTGCTCTCATCGCGCGAATAATAAAATGAAGTGAATACATACAACAAGCCAAAATTGACCGAAACTGCCTTTCCCTACTGCCATAGGTTAGGACAAGTTTTAGAAATTCCTAAGGGGGAACCCTTGAGTTAGTGCAGCCTTTGCAATGCCGTTGAAATCCGTCCACTAGGGGTGCAGCTTTCACACAATACGATCTCTGGCACCCTATTTTGCTTTATCCAGGGAGGTAATCGATCTTATAGTGGCAGATATGGTATGAGGGAGCTTCGACTTC